AGGAGTCACAGACGCAAGCATCACCAACCGAATACAAGAGATAGAAGAGAGAATCTCAAATGCAGAAGATGCTATGGAAAATATTAACACAGTTGTCAAAGAAAATGCAAAATGCAAAAAACTCCTAACTCAAAACATCCAGGAAATCCAGGACACAATGAGAAGACCAAACCTAAGGATAATAGGTATAGATGAGAATGAAGATTGCCAATTTAAAGGGCCAGTAAATATCTTCAACAAAATTATTGAGGAAAACTTCCCTAACCTAAAGAACAAGATGCCCACAAACATACAAGAAGCCTACAGAACACCAAATAGACTAGACCAGAAAAGAAATACCTCCTGTCACATAATAATCAAAACATCAGATGCACAAAACAAAGAAAAAATACTAAAAGCAGTAAGGGATAAAGGTCAAGTAACATATAAAGGCAGACCTATAAGAATTACACCAGACTTCTCACCAGAGACTATAAAAGCCAGAAGAGCCTGGACGGACATCATACAGACCCTAAGAGAACACAAATGCCAGCCCAGACTACTATACCCAGCAAAACTCTCAATCACTATAGATGGTGAAACCAAGATATTCCATGACAAAACCAAATTTGCACAATATCTTCCCACAAACCCAGCATTTCAAAGGATAATTGATGGAAAACACCAACACAAGGAGGGAAACTACAACCTAGTAAAAGCAAGGAAGTAATCTTCCAACAACCCCAAAAGAAGATAACTATACAAACATAATTCTACCTTTAATAACAAAAATAACAGGAAGCCACAATCATTTTTCCTTAATATCTCTTAACATCAATGGTCTCAATTCCCCAATAAAAAGATGCAGACTATCAGACTGGATACACAAACAGGAACCAGAATTTTGCTGCATACAGGAAATGCACCTCAGTGACAAAGACAGACACTACCTCAGAATAAAAGGGTAGAAAACAATTTTCCAAGCCAATGGTCCCAAGAAACAAGCTGGAGTAGCCATTCTAATATCAAATAAAATCGACTTTCATCCAAAATTAATCAAAAAAGATAAGGAAGGACAGTTCATACTCATCAAAGGAAAAATCTACCAAGGTGAACTCTCAATTCTGAACATCTATGCTCCAAATGCAAGGGCACCTACATACATAAAAGAAACTTTACTAAAGCTCAAAACACACATTACACCTCACACAATAATAGTGGGGGATTTCAACACCCCACTCTCAGCAATGGACAGATCATGGAAACAGAAACTAAACGGAGACACTTTGAAATTAACAGAAGTTATGAACCAAATGGACTTAACAGACATCTATAGAACATTTCATCTAAAACAAAAGAATATACCTTTTTCTCAGCACCTCATGGTACCTTCTCCAAAATAGACCATATAATTGGTCACAAAACAGGCCTCTATAGATACAAAAATATTGAAATAATCCCTTGCATCTTATCAGATCACCACAGACTAAGACTGGTCTTTAATAATGACAAAACCAATGGAAAACCCACATGCACATGGAATCTGAACAACTCTCTACTCAATGATGACTTGGTTAAGGAAGAAATAAAGAAAGAAATTAAAGACTTTTTAGAATTTAATGAAAATGAAGGCTCATCAGATCAGAATTTATGGGACACAATAAAAGCAGTGCTAAGGGGAAAACTCATAGTTCTACAAGTGTCAAGTTTCTACAAGAAACTGGAGAAAGCATACATTGGCAACTTGACAGCACACTTCAAAACTCTAGAACAACAACAACAACAAAAAAAGCAAATACTCCCAAGAGGAATAGACTGAAATCAACCAAGTAGAACCAAAAAAAAATTGGTTATTGGATTATTGGATATTAGCCCAGAACCTTGAAATGCCCAAGATTCAACTCACAGGCCACATGAAGCTCATGAAGAAGGAAGACCAAGTGGGGATGATTCGGTCCTTCTTAGAAGGAGCAACAAAATACCCAAGGGAGCAAATATGGAGACAAAGTGAGGTACAGAATCTGAAGGAGGGGCCGTCTGAAGAACATTCCACCTGAGTATCCATCCCATGTGCAGTCACCAAAGGTAGATGCTGATGTGGAAGTCAGGTAGTGCATGCTGGTAAGAGCCTGATATAGATGTCTCCTCAGAGGTCTGCAAGAGTCTGACATATTCAGAGGCAGATTCTCACAACTAGCCATTGAACTGATCATGGGGTTCCCAATGGAGGAGTTAGAGTGAAGACCATTGGAGCTGAAAGGGTTTGTGTCCCCATGAGGAGAGCAACAATATCAACCAACAACAGCTCCCAGGGTCGAAACCACCAGCCTGGGAGCACTTAGGGAGGGATCCATGGCTTCAGCTGTATATGTAAGAGCGGAGGGCCCTGCTGGGCATAGGTGGAAGAAGAGATCCTTGGTCTCATGAAGGCTGGATGCTCCAAGGGGTGGGAATTTGAGGGTGGGGAGGTGGGAGTGGGTGGGTAGGTAGGGATTACATCCGCAGAGAAGAAGGAGGAGGGGTGAGGGGGTAGGGGGTTCCTGGGTGGGTGGGGGATTGGGTAAGGGGGCAACATATGAAATGTAAATAAATTATCCAATAAAAAAAAGAAAATGTAAGGGCAAAATTAGTGTTCATTTCTACTAGAGCATTGTTGTTTATGTTCTCGAAGAGGCTCTATAGCAAGGGAAAAATCTCCACAGGAAAGTTTACAATAAGAATTAAAATGTGTGTGTGTGTGTGTGTGTGTGTGTGTGTTTATTCTGAGACCACGATCCCACAAAGCTTTCCTATAAGTTTAAAGGTAATCTCTCAAGTACCATCATAGAGTACTGCAAAAAGAATGCATATTTTATAAAATTAAATAATGATTTGATCAATCATCAAAAACATAAGAAGGATATATTTTAAAACAGAGGGAAGGATGAGCAGCAATCAGTGAGCAATAGTGTATTTCACTGATTTTTATCCATTTTCATGATGTCAACAGATATAATTATTAATTATATGTCACTCTGACACAACGAAAATTAGGCTTCTTATGATACAGTGAGGTATTTCCCTTTTGTTGTTATTTATTTGATAATTTAGTGGGATGTTTTATAATTTTATTTGGGGGTTTATTTTTTTTTTTAGGTTTATTTATTTATTATGTATACAGCATCCTGCCTGCATGTACACCTTCATGCCAGAAGAGGGCAGAAGATCTCTTTACAGATGGTTGTGAACCACTATGTGGTTGCTGGGAATTGAACTGAGGACCTCTGGAAGAGCAATCAGTGCTCTTAACCGCTGAGCCATCGCTCCAGGCCCGGGTTTGTATTGTTTAACTGGGATATTTTCTGTTTTTCTGAACTCAAGGCATTGTGTATTCTGAGCATCTACTTTACCACCGAATTATATGTCCTTTCCCATGGGTGTTATCTGTGATCCTTTAATTTTTGAGGAGACTTATCTAGGTATCTTACATACTAGAAATTTATTACAAGTTAAGTCATAAAAGAGCTTTAATAGAATAAACACACTCTTAATAAAATCTATTATCAAAAGACCTAAGCAAACAGATTTCCTGAGGACTTTTCCTCTAGGGTATTAAAAGATATCACACATGGTTTATGATCTTCTAATAGACATACAGATTAACTCGCCTTAACACGCCCATGTAGAGAATTTTCAAATGGAAGACACAAATACAGATGGAACAATGACTGCACTGAGACACAAAGAAACCAAGTGACTTCACACATAGTGTCCTCAAATGCCTGTTCCTGGAATAGCTCCAACTTTATTTAAAAGGCCTCTAGAGGTTACTAAAAGTTAAAGAATGCTAATAGCACCTCAAAGTCAAGGCATCATGTCTGTTTGCATGTTATATCATCAAGATCCCACTTATAATTTATATACCAAAAGGTTCTGCACATATCAAATGATACTGTACTTTTTCAGGTATCATTATCCTGTCACTGACAAAATGTATTCTTAGAGTATGAGAAAATCTTTTATATTATAAAATACATTTTAAAATAGCTTTGTTGAAAACCAAAAAGGACACTTAATTACTGCCATTATTTTCTGAATGGAACACAATACTACAGACCAAGCATAACATTGAGAAGTATGATTGAAACAGTCAGATTTATGATGTGTACATACACTATTTATATATTATGTACGATATGTACGGTATAATAACAATCCATATGCTGTAACTACACGTAGTTACAACTGTTTGTCCAGTAATAAGAATTTGAAAATATAGATTTAAACACAGTTTCCTATGAAGAACATCACTGTGTGTCTAGTCTGCAAAACAGACTTGCTGACTTTCAAATTCTTAGACACTGGGTATCATACATCCTAGAATTACAACAATTCAATAAAACTCCAACTGAAGGATTAGGTCAAATTTCACATTTATCCAAATTCCAGGGACAATTCAAACTCCCTCCGGACCACAAAAGGGCAAGCTCTCTTTGACCCCGAAAATATAAGATTTTACTACGTAAACATCAAGCTTCCTAAGAAGTTAACCTTCTCAGAACTCAGGAGCTAAATTCTTGTTCCCATTAAAGATGACATTTAGATAAATATAGTCAAGATGTAAATTTCAAATATGCCAAGAGGTCAGTGAACAAGAAAAATAACTTCAAAGGAAGAGTTTTACTCTTAAAATAAAATAAAAGACAGCATTTTATTGTAACACACATACACATACATGCATGCACAGTCAAACACACACAGGCATAAACACACATACACATACATATACACATAGAAGAATATGCATACATTTACATATATACACACAGATAGATGTATGTAAACTCTCTTACACACACACACACACACACACACTATTATGAACCTGATTTATACATGCTCTTAAGAATAGTGAATATCCAATTTCTGTGACACTTTTTATCCCTTGTTACTTCCTCTGGCTACACTTGTGCAGTTTTTTCATTTGATGATTAAACACAGGACAAATGCATAAAGAGACTGATTAAGGCAAAATCTCTTACCAGTAATTTTTGATCCACTGTGGTCTGCCTGGATTATCAAGGTAGAATCATTGTTTTCAGTTTATAACACCTAGAGATAGACCAAAGTAGCAGTTTTAGAGATAATTTCCAGGTATGGAGAAACTTTTAAATTAACTGCTGTCATTACTCTATCAAACATACTAATTTGATTCCTCCTCCCACTTTGCATGACAAACAATCCAATGTTTAAATACCTACTAACATTATTCTGTTGCTTAGGATTCTGGAACTATATCTCAGAACATTCGAAGTCACAAGGGCAAACATGAAACAGTCATGTAATCACACTTTGCATAGGAAGCGTTATTGATGTGCTTCCCCTTACAGATTAAGGTATTCTGGAACAGACCCCAATTTGTCAGAGTTCATCCCTGGCTGTCCTCTCCAAAAGGCTGTGCATGAGAGCCGCTTGCTTTGGTCTGATGCTGTGACCAATGCCTCTAAATGAAACAATGCCACTAAAATGAGGAGAGTTCTATTAAAAAAACACTCCAAAAACAGACCTCCATCAAATGAGAGACAACATGGCCTTCAAGAGGCCATTTCCCACCCACAGGGGTTCATGCCAAGCTCCCATCTTTTAACAAATCAACGGAAAATGAAGGATGTATTTCACTCAATATACAAAGCCTTTTATTGTTAATTCCAAGACCATTTGTGGCTTGGCTCTCAGACTGTAGGGAAGCACCCATAAGCCTGTTTTCTAATTCATACCCATGAACACACCTCTGATGACCTTAGCTTGTCTTTCAAGCACCAAACAGGAACTGTAAGCTAAGTAAATTTTTATATATCTATTGTCGAAATCTAATAAACTTTAATCATACTGGCTAAATATCATCTAGTAATTCTAAAGCAATCTGGCAGAAATTGCTAATTAAGGAGATTTATAAAAGTATAACTTCTTTGGCACTAAAGGAAAGTAAAGATTGTTTTAAAAATATATCTGCAAGTAACCTTCTTCTCTTGCAAGAATTTGCAGGCAATCACATTGGCATCAATCCAAAAGCTTTTGCCAAGAAGCTCTAAACAGATTGTGATGCCTCCGGAGAGAACCTCACACCAGTACACTGGGAAGAAAAAATTCCATGCTAGCATGTAAAAGAAAGTCCCTACTGCTGAGCAATTGACCAAGGGCCACACTGCACAGACTGTGGCCTTTACACCTTTGTTTGGTAACTTCCTTTCAATCCCATTAGGCCTGTTTCTGAAGCCATTATTTTTTGCTTGATTATAACAAATAGAATTGCTTATAGGCAACTAACAATGCACAAAAAAGCACTTTATGTGGCTCCCAACCAGTCTGTGAGTGGTACACACCACTAGAGCACACTGAGATTTCTTGGTTTCTGGAAGCAAACCAACAATGTTTACTTAACTAGGGAAATACACAGACTGAAGTCATCGTCTGCTGTTCAGCATCCTAAAGGTTACAAATAATCTTTCAGTGGCGAAAATTCATGCAGTGTTGGCACAGATTGATTCTGAGTGAGGCTTTCTGATTCACCTGTTCCCTATTCAAGGCTGAAGTTAATGTAAGACTCAGTATGCTTTTATAATTCAAGTGAAGAAGGATGCTGTAAAGTCAGCTTATTACATAGTTGGAGTTCAACTTTTGCTGTTTGAATATTTTGCCATTGTGAGACAACCCCACAAAAACCATTCATGTCATACAATCAGCATTACATGGGTCCCAACAGGTCTCAATTTCTCACCACTGTCAAGAACACACATGACCATAGAAATAAGATTCTGTGCTGACATTCTACTTGGGTTTTTCAAGAGATGTTTGGCCTCAAGTAGGGAGTCTATTGCTATTGGAGCTGCTGATCCGACTTATTTGTATGCTCACAGAGGCTGCCTGAGCCTGCTCAGCTCTCGTCTGCTTCATTCAACCTTGCTTGAGAAAGCTTTCTCATTAATCATGTGTAATCTAATCTCTCTCTCTCTCTCTCCCTCTCCATGTAGTGTGTGTGTGTGTGTGTGTGTGTGTGTGCGTGTGCGTGTGTTATGTGTGTGTGTTTGTGCATTTGGTTTTCCATATATATGAAGGATAAACACTGAGTTATTTGTTTTCCTTTCATTCTTTCCTATATGACCTCCCAAAATGGTGTGTAGACAATACCTTAAATTATAAATATTATTAAAACATGTCCACACATGTTTATTTTTATCTATCTTAAATAAAATGATACCTCTCTATCTTTTTTCTTTCTGATAAATCCTAAAACCCATGAAATTTACTCTCCCTCTCTCTCTTTCTCTCCATATATATATATATATATATATATATATATATATATATATATGGTGTATATAGTCCATCAGTGTCCTAATGCAGGTAGACACACATATAGATGACACCATTATAGTCTAATAAAATACCTTTCCAACTTTGCTGTTATTTCATTTAACTGAATAGGTAATCTTTTAAACTACTTTAATCTAGAAATACTTATCCTTTCTCCAACTATTGGTGTCACTCAATACTAATATCTCATTATTTTATCACTGCTGAAAAAGATAGGTTTATTTCAAACATCCCTAAGATTCTTCTATTTAAGAGATATAAATAATTGTAAGCATCAAAACTAAGGAGGAGACTTGAAAAGAATACAGAAGACTGACTCTGATAATATGGAAGCATAAGAAAAATTGGGTATTTGGTTGCTTCTTTACATTATGAGAAACTATATTGCAGGTACAACAACCTAGTTAAATTTCTATCAATTCAAGAGAAAATACGGAAAAGGAGAAATTATGCTGAGGAGGGAAACAGAACTGTCTCGAGAACAAAGGGAGTAAGAAGTAGATTTGATGTGCCCCATTGGAAATAACGTATCTAGCCAAAGAAAATGTAATACAGAAACTCTGAATTAGTTCATCTCTGGCCCAGACCAACCTCCTGCAAGGAACACCTTGCAGACATGAGGCTGTCTCACATCTGAACATAGTACTTTTCACACAATGCAGTAAGCAACCCCATGAGGTTTTATGTGCTCAGCAAGATAAAAACGTGATCTTTCCCAATGCTGGAGGAAAAGTTGGCTGCATAAGAAATCCTTAGAGATCTGTCTCTTTTCAACATGATGTCTTTCTAAATTATTTTCAAGGTGAGTTTATCCTCAGTGACTATGTTAGAGCAAACTCCAAATAAAATGCAATCCCATCCTTGACAAAGTAAAAGAAGGAACCATAGATATTCCTGCTAGGCTCTACACTAAGCTTTTAACAAACTGGCATGTCCTAATGATTGCTGCAATCTTTGTATCTCCATATGGCTAAATACAGACTGGATGAGTTCACAACTGAATGCATGCAAGCAATACATGTACTTAATGGTGAGTGACATTCCATAGTTCCTTAATGCAACAAGGCTGGGTGTGAATGTTATACTTACACAGAGCAAGAAAAAGTCCATTTTGATTGGATCTATCAAAAGGCAGAGAACAAAAGAAACAACAGAAGGGCTGAGATTATAGCCAGTGTGTACATTCTGACCATGTGAACTTAACACTAGTGATACAGACTTCTAGAATTCTAATTATCTCATTGGAAAACAAGAAATCATAGAGTAATCCTTGAAGCAGAGGTTTAAAGAGTTCAACTTACATTTTAAAAGGTTTATCACAGCAGGGATACAGAAAAGTGCTCACTGAACTGAAAGGGCCAGAGTAGCACCACTCTCTATATCCTTGCATCATGCCACAGCAGACCACCCTCTCAGGGTCTCTAGTTTCCTACATGGTAAGATTCTCTACTCAAATTGAACCAACAAGAAGAAACCCCATGGTATTCAGATGAGGACCACATATGAACCCTGAGAACTCCTGGGTACGTCACATATCTGTGTAGCTACATGCATTTATTCTCAAGGAGAGAAAAAGTCTTCTTTATAATAATGTTGGCATGCTTATAAGTTCCTTAATACCATGGAGAAAGGAAATTAAGAGATAGATCAGCAGTTAAGAGTACTGGCTTCTTCTCCAGAGGTTGTGACTTCAATTCCCAGCAACCACATGGTGGTTCACTTTCATCTGTAATAAAATCTAATGCCCTATTTTGTGTGTGTGTGTGTCTGAAGACAGCAACAATGTACTCATATACATAAAATAGATAAAAAATTTTAAAGTAAAAAAAGTTCAGGAAGTAATAATTTCCTTAGTACCTTGAGTACCTTTTGGTGCTCTAGTGGCTAAGTTCAAAGGCTATCAAAGTTCCACTTGTCCTTTTCTTAAGACTTGTACACCAAATGAAAATGCCACTTCTAAATGTGTGTGTTTATAATGAAGAGTGCTTCTTCCTTTTTCTCTTTTGATGAAAATCTGTTTAGTATCAATTGGCCTATAACACTGTTGATATTCTGGTGGTTTAAAAAATAATCATTAGTGTAAAAGCTGACACATCTCAGCTTTAGTCAATACTGGGTCAATAAACTTAAGACGTCAGGATTGAAAACATCTCTTTTTCTATCATCAGTAGACATTTACCTGGCAGGAATGAGGTATTCTATACTCAAACTCTGTGTCAGATGTTCAATACATGGTTGTTGAGTGACTATATATTTTAGAAAGTGAAATGTTATATGGTATACATAATAGGTCTTGGAACATGAGTCAGTAAATGAGCACACAGCAGAAATTGGTTCATGAGATTAGCAAAAAAAAAAAAGATGCACAACAAAATATAAATCAAACTGGGAAGGGAGCAAAAGGGCAATCAACAATGAATGTTAGTTGTGAAATATTTATAGAAACATCTTTACAAGAACAATATGACAACGTTGGTTGTTTTCCCTAAAATGACCCCAAAACAGGACTCAAAAATAGTTTCTATTTCTCATTACTTTTTGAGAATTTGTTCACTAAAACTTAACTTTCAAAAATGTCAACCTGAAATATAGAGCATGCTTTTCTTAGATTTCTATTGGCGTGAAAAAAACACTATGACCTAAAGCAACTTGTAAAGGAAAGGATACATTTCACCTAATATCTTACAGTCCTTCCAGGAGGAAAATTAGG